TCGCAAAGTTGGTCAATATCCATTCCTCCAAAATTACGTCGCAGAACTAATTTAGGTTTGATTTTAGGAGGGCGTAGTTTATACGAAAGGAAAAGTAAATCGTGATAAGAGAATGCATCAGCAGGACACTGTCCATGCTTGAAAACTAGGTTTGAAGATGACACGATAATTAAGTCCAGAAGGGAAGGAGTACAGTTAGGAAATTTGTGAGTAGCAGCAAGGGGTAGGATTTGCATATTACACGCTTCAATTATAGACTCAAGTTTTATTGCCCGATTGTCGCCTTTAAGTAAACATATGTTAAAGTCACCCATCAAAATAGTATGACTATATGTAGGGACTAGTGATTCTAAAAGAGATTCAAAAGAAGTAAAATAGTTCATAGAAAGAGAGGGACTGTAGAAAACTCCAAGTAGGATTTTATTCTGAGACAGGGAGACCTCAACTAGCAAATGCTCAGCAGAATCACCAGGAGGCGGTTGACATGACGAACTAACAATTTTAAATGGAAAGTAGGATCTTAGATAGATCGTCACGCCCCCCACCACCTCTGTTACTGCGGTCATTTCTAATTAGATGAAACCCAGGCAAAGAGTAAGAAGTAGAAGGCAAACAGGGTTTTAGCCAAGATTCTGAAACTAAGATGGCATGAATATTTCGGGATTCAAATGACGCAAACATGTCGGGATAATGAGCCGGAATGCTTTGGGCATTAATATGAATAGCATTGAAATTATTCACACAGTCTGAGAAACAAGAATTTAAGGTGATGTTGAGTGAAGGAGAAGCAGTTGTACTGTGATAACTAACATCACTAAGTGTCTCATCATCCGAAGACAAGGACAGAAACAAATCACTATCGTTACAAATGTTTGAGGATAACATAAAAACTAATTAAATATACAAATAAATACTAATATACAATAAAAAATAAAATATAAAAAATATAAATGCAAGATCGAACGGTACCCACACAATTACAACCACCAGCAGCATGAAAGAGAAAGCATATAACACAACAACAACTTAAATAAATAAAACAATAAGTTTAATATTAAAATTCCCAAAACAAAACAAAAAAAAAACTTGTAGTCTAACACCAATAAATTGTAAAAAATTATAAACGTCGGACTAGGCAGTATCGTTATAGATGCCTTTGCCAAGTTAGTAAAATATAAAAAGTAAAAATGAATCTTAGAATTCTCTGTATACGTCTAAGAATGCTTCTGTCAGCCTCTGTGGTTACAGTACTCTAGTCTAGTATTGAAACAGTAATCTATGGTTACAGGTAACAACTGTCAGTCTTAAAGTAAACAATAAAAATAAAAAACACAAAAGAAGAAATTAGGATAAACAATTAATCTAAATACCTGTAATGTGGAATAATTAAAATAATTTGAGAAACAGTCTTCAAACTAGTGCAACCAATTAGAAATGATGTCATTGAAATATATGGCAAAGAATTCTAAATTAATACCTGATAACCAAAAGTTACAAAAAATACATGTATTGAGCTGCTGGAGTACATGAGTAAAAGCTAAACTACAAGAAAAACACGCCACCTTCATTTTTTAGTCGTCTTCCTAGCCCTAGCAGTAGTAACACAGGGCTTAGGAGCAGAAGATGCCGCCGCAGCTGTCGTCACCGCCGTCGTCGCAGTCAAAGATGAGGTAGTAGGAACACCACACGCTGCATCAGGAATGGCGATCAATTCAGCCACGGTGTACACCCGGTGCTTCGTGCCATCGGACCCAAGCACCACGACATATCCATTTTGTGACCAACACTGGGATACGCCAAAGCGCTTCCGAGCAGCAACGAACGCCTCATGACGGCCCTTAGTCAAGAACTCGGATAGAGTAACTCCGCTACCCTTTAATTTGGTTTTAGAAAACCAGACTTTGTCACGGAGATCCTGATCTCGAAACTTCACAAGCAGCGCTCGAGGCTTGTCGCCACGGGGTTGCCCTAAGCGATGGCATCTAGTGATAGAGCTCACAGTAATTTCAGGGATATTCAATCGCTCCGATAATATCTTACTTGTGCAAAGAACTGGGGTTTCTTCTCGGGCTTCAGGCACACCATGCACAAGCAACATCTTCCTCCTGGTCCTTACCTCCATTTCATCTTGATTCCTAGAGAGAAGCTGGAGCTGAAGTTGCAAATTTTCTAGTGCTGACAAAACAAATCCCCTAAAGGCGTTAAATTGTGCATTAATGTTGGAAGTAGGGCTTGTTGCAGGGATGGATGTTCTGACCTCCCTCTGGAACTCATCCATACGTGCAGTAAAATTCAGCGTTAACTCTTCAATTGACTTCTTAAGCAAATCCATTATGAATATTCAATCAAAGGTTATTCAAAGGTCAATGTCAGGTGACAGTGAAGTGGCAATAATAAGTTTTAAGTTGTGCAGTGAAAAACAAATTATTAATAAACAATGCTGGTGGATTTATGTGCTTACAGGTACATTTATATACTTGATTATCCTAGATTTACTATATTTTAACATTAAAATCTCAGGAACAATTTTAAATATGTCAATACACTTGGCACCTACCCACCAAAAAAAAAAAAAAAGCGTGATTTAGGCTTCCGTGTGTTTCGCTTGCGGCGCGACGACAACGCCGCCACAACTCCTTGGTTTTGTACCAAAACGGCAGAATTTATTCAAAAAAGGCGATGACGATGACTCTGATGATTCTGATGTAGAATTTTAATGTAAATAGTTCTAGATTTAATTTTAGATGTAAGTTATTATCCTTATATTTATATTTATTTTTAATATAACTTGTTTCATTCCAAATATTTGTACTTAGTTTTTTAATACAATAGATACCTAATTAATAATTTATTTTAGGTCATTATTATTATTATTTTAATAAATACGTTGTTTAATTTTTTTTTCGTTTTTATTACTAACACACATAATGACAAAACTAAATACACTATCGACAACGCTTATCCACAACAATAATGCGCATCACTATGCTCGCCCCTGAGACCCGTGAGTGGGAGAGAGAGCGAAATACTCCGATGATTTACGACCCAAACTGCACGGACAAAATTATTCTAGTATAGTAATAAAATTTTGGCTCTTACCCTACTACATCATGCAAAACATGACGATATATCGATATTTATCACGTGATATCGTGATCAATATATAATTGATATTGTTTAAAAATACCGATATATAATTAGTGCAGTGTAATAACTGACGTCCCTAATTAGGGGCCACGCCCACCCTTAATTCAAGGGTCCAGATTCAGTGTAGAGTAATAGAGTCATTAGCACTCTCCGTAAATTTCGTAGTGCGCGAACAACACGGGTTTCAAGTGTTTTACCACATGCTGAACAGTAAAGGAAAACATTGTGGGGGAAACCTGCCTGTCTCAGATATTAAAAAATAATTTGAAGACATGTGAATTTCGCCAACATGCATTGTGGTAGCGTAGAGGACTTTTCCTTGTCCTATAATTAGTAATAGGTTTGAAATAAAGCAATACTAGGACCTTCGCTTATGGCATCACCGCAGAGAGAACATCAGTTATTACTATTACTTGGCGGAGCGCGTCTCTCATTGGAGGGCCAAAGGTGCGTCCACCAGTATCTAGCTACCCCTACTAGGCGGGCCGTGCGGGGAGGGAACGGAAGCGAGGGAATTTATGCCAGCCAACCCAATTAACTAATACATCAACAAATACGAAATGCAGTGTGCGTTGGCGCAACCAGTATACATAGAAGTCTTTAAATAGAATACATAAGAGTCTTTGCTAATAAGTACGAATAAGTAAGTGCTCATATCTATGTGGTTGTTTGGACGCCCAGTGTCTACTGTTTTCTGACCTAGCATTAATTACTAGTTCTATAACTCGTGATTTCCAGAATAGAGTATAGAGAGCTAGAATAAGTACAGGCAGTGAAGATAGAATGCCTCTTGGCCCTCAGAGGTAACAACGGATCTGTAGTCTTTTTTGTTTGAAGTTGGCTGAAGGTGTCCCGGTCAACCCCTGAACGGGTTCCTGGCCTTGTCGCCCACTGTGAACGAAGAGGAACCCACATAGATTAGGTAAAGGGCCGGCAGGAGAGGCGCCAGCTATACAGGTAGATTTAGAAGCCTCCGAGGATGACGCACCTTGTGTTCTCGCGCACCTTACCTGAGAAGGAGAAGGGGGAGGAGTTCCTGGAAGGGGCTGCCATGGGGTGGCCGAGGATGTGTTCGAAAGCGTTCCCGTGACCCTGTTAATATGCGGCGAAGGTGAAACACCATGGAATTGTAGCGAGGACAACTTAACCCTTCTCTCTCCCCTAATAAAAGAAAGGTGTCCATGTGCTGCAATAGCCACTTACCATCAGTTTGATTGTAAGTTTGTTTGTCACTTTAATAAAATAAATACAAGGTTATTTTTTAGAGTACCCAAATTTTAATATACTGTTATTGCAGCTTTTGAAAATACGAGTAAATGAGGCTTCTACTTTTATTTGAAATTATCCCATTTTGAATGTGATTTATGGGCAACAACTACGCATACGCCCACACCTCTGTCTGCGATTCAATTCTCCTCTCTTTGCCTTTACACATGTGTGCGTGCGTAGTAAAATAGTAGGCGTTAGATATTTATGCATGACAATCAGTTAAAATAATGCATTACCACGCATTCTGAATTTAAAATACGAATGTGTGCGTGCGTAGTAAAATAGTAGGCGTTAGATATTAATGAAAGACAATCAGTTAAAATATTGCATTACCATGCATTCTGAATTTAAAATACGAATGTGTGCGTGCGTAGTAAAATTGTAGGCGTTAGATATTTATAAATGAAAATCAGTTAAAATAATGTATTACCACGTATTCTGAAGATATAAAAAACAGAATGTCTTAGACTTTATTCAATTAATTTTTCTTCACTATTTGCATATATTACTTATTTTGAACCTTTTGCAATTTTGGCGTATATTGCAAAGTAACCCTATATATTAAACAAAGATTGTTAATCTAGAGGACAGTTTGGAGGAGTGGGTGCCCGTAACAGCTAAGAACTACACCAGCAGTCCGCGAAGGATAGGCATCCCAGACGGTTACGTGTTCCACGGTATACAGCACTCCATCTCCCACAACTCAGGCAGAGTAAGTAAAACGACCGAGCCTTACAGTAGTCCCATATGATGTGTAATATCTGACATCTCGTCTTAGTAATAGGCTACAGTCTAACGTTGGTCAAGTTCGCAAGTGATCAATACCAAGGCCAATGTTCGCGAGTTTTTGTGGAGTTATCCACATGTTGGCCGTAATTAGTCGTCATTGAGAAATCGTACGATATGGACGACGTAGAAGTTATTGCAGATTCTGCAATTAATTTAATGAGTGCATTTAATTGTTGTCACTGTGCTCTGCAGTAATTTAATTAAAAAGAAGAGGCAGATAAGAAGGTGGTGGATGCTGAGTATTATAATTATAACAATATCTCATCGGGACGCACGTCTAGCCTCTATATGTAATGTACTCTGTGGTAACTGACATGGCCGACTAACATGTGAAGGCAGGTAACATTGAGTGCAGGCGGCTGTTGGGCTGGTGTTCCCGTTTTTTTTCTTTACGTTGTCTTGTCTGATTTCATAGCGAAATAGCTGCCTTTTATTAAGCTCAGGCGTTATTTGCCATGATCAAGACATGAATAATCATTTTTTTTTCTGTCTGTCTGTTTGTCTGTGTGCGCTAATCATCGGGATGGCTGAATAGATCTAGATCAAACTTCACGAACAGACATAGAGCAACGCCAGGAATGATCTAGACTATATTTTTAAAAAACTCAAAGATTTTTTTGTTTTGACAATCGTTTTTGAGCCCACTAAAAATTTTAGCGACCCACAATATTATCACACACACAAAAAACATACCAATTTATTATTATACATAGCCTAAAGATTTTTTGAAAACCTAAACGGAAATGTGAAAAAAATGAGTTGTTTTGATATGGCACTATATTTTGCCGGAACTAGTGAAAAGATTTTTTTACATCGATCTTAAAATATCTATAAATGCTGAATATACCTACAACTTTGTTTTATATGTATCTACTAGGGATGGGCCGAATATGGATTTCACCGAATACGAATATTCGGCCGAATATTCGGTTAAATTTTTACCGAACCGAATATTCGGCCGAACATTATTCGGCAAGATAACCTCGGGACTTAACCAATTTATGTCGAAACTTGCTACCGTAAAGCACACGGGATTAGCGCCGGACCCTGCCTCTCGCTTCCCGCCACACCTGACATGTTATTGCATCATCTAGTACTGAGCAAGTTACCGGCGCATGCTTATGTTTTGACTATTATTGTGATAAAAAAGTATTTCGTTGTTTTATTCTTAATTAAAGTTAAAGTTATAGCCTATATACGTCCCACTCCTGGTCACAGGCCTCCGCTCATTTCTGAGAGGGTTATAGTAGGGCAAGGAATTGTCCACCGCACTGCCCCAATATGCTTGTTGGCGAACTTTACATGTCTTCGAAATCATTTTTTTCTTATTTCTCAGACATGCAGGTTTCCTCACGATGTTTTCAAATTTTTTGTAAATCAGCACTTAAAATTGCAATTAATAATTTCATTGGTGCCAGCAGGGATCAAACCCGGTTTGGTCGTGCACTGTGAAATTTACAACGAGCGCTAACCATCTGACCTACCATGGCTCTTTATTCTTAGTGAATAAGGTAAAGAGCCGTAAGAATTTTATTCTTAGTGAAAATTGATAATTATGTGATAAAAATGAGCGGCAGGAGATTTCCTATTTGGACTTATTTTAGAGAAACTGAAGATCAAAGTAAAGTGAAATGTACTAATGTAATTTAATGTTTCTTTGTTTGATTCCAAAAACATTTTATCAAGTTTCTATTTGCCATAATCGGAAATAAATCCACAGTGCCTCAAAAACATAAATGTATAGATTTATGCATTTGAGGCACTTTTAGAGTAAGTAGATTTAATTTAACCCATAAATAAAATATACTTTCAACAGTAAAATACGTCGCATTACTTAATTCGTACATTTCAATACATTGGACACTATGAAAATGTTCGGTTCGAATGTTCGGTGATTTAGCCGAATATTCGGCCGAATACGAATATTCGGTACACCTGCCGAATATGCCGAATATCGTATATAAAACGAATATTCGGCCCATCTCTAGTATCTACTATTATTCAACAGTGCACTATTTTAACTTATAGTACCGGTGAATACTACTAGAAAATCGCTTTTAGTTTGTTTTTAGGTAATTTTAGATTCATATTTTAATTGTTAATTTCTCAGTACTCCGTTTAGATGCAGTAAAACTAATAATACTATTGTAACCCATATATTACTAGGAATAAATCGACATGCATTTCATTAAGAATCCTTAAAATTTTTTGTGGACCAAAAATAAATTGTCTTCTTAATAGAAACCCAACCCAGGTGAAACCAGGTTGGACAGCAAATCATACCTTTTACAATTTAAAATTGTGAATTTCTTGATTTTGTAGAACGCGGTGTCGCCGAAGTATTACTCTGTGCAACCCATTGGCTCCGTCATAGTTATCACCATGACTTTCCCCACCTGGTCGAACCAACATTATGGAACGTACTTTTGCATCTTCTCCAAGCCTGGCACCAAGCGAGAGAAAGTTGTCAAATTCTTGGTGTTATGTAAGTTCTGGTTTTTTAATCTGTATTTTATGATAGTGACAGTAGTTAACTGCTCTATTTAACGGACTAGACGACGGAATATTAAGTGACCATGGTAATGACTGGTTTCTTGGGGAAGAGGCAAAGCTCTTGTGGGATTGATACGTGCGTATACTAGTAGACTTTGGAGTAATTCGTTTTGAGCCGGGCTTCGGAGGCGGCTAAACTTTGTAAATGGCGCACATATGTATCTCTGAGAAACGACTTTTTATGGGGTCCGACCCCAATCTACCATTAAAAAGTTATTACAATCCATGAACAGAAGGATGGTATGTGTTATCAAAGCCAGAGGCAATACCTGTTACTAAAGAAAGATTGACATCAGAGAAACCATTTTTTTATCAGTGTGAAGTCGTAAATTTTTCTTCATTTTTTATTTTTCTTGTATATTGCTGAAAAAATAAATTTGATTATTTTAATAATGCATTACTTAACTCATTACTTAATAAAAAAGTATAAATATTTTTCTTATTTTGAAACACGCTCAAGACATCCGATTTGGTAGGTGGCTTAATTTTACTGTCCACTACTTTTTAAGGTCCATTACTTTTGGAGAAGGTCTACAAATTCGTATAATGGACGCTCCCTTATGTATGTAAATGTCACTACAAAATGTTATCTTTCACCTGGTTCTCCTTCAGCTCAAACCAGCATGGTCATAACGCCGAAGGTTGTGGAGCTACTGCCCGGACAACGTGCGAACACCATCGAGTTACCGTTCAAGTGCAACCGATGTCGCATCAATAGCGTCATGGTGAGGGCCTCGGACGGCAACGTATACAATGTCGACAGCTCACGGTACAGGGTGAACGAGTCTACGGACAGGTTGGCAGAATTTATAGCCTTCAGTCTTATCATCATATTAGTTTATTATTGTTACTGCCGGATTCGACTCGGCTGGGCAGCGTTTGAGAGATTGCGGCACATCTTCTCGTCAGGCATACCTCAAAATCTCAAAACTCGATTGTACAACCAGTGCGTGTTGTCAGTGATGACCTATGGATCTGAGACGTGGTCCTTCACTGCTGGCCGTACGAGAAAGCTCAAAGTCGCGAGAGGGCTATGCTCGGAGTTTCTCTGCGTGATAAACTTAGGAATGGGGTTATCCTTAGTAGAACCAAAGTGACTGACATAGCCCAACGGATTAGTAAACTGAAGTGGCAATGGACCGGCCACATAGCTCGAAGAACCGATAATCGTTGGGGAAAAAAGGTTCTCTAGTGGCAGCCTCGTAACGGCAGGCGAACTGTAGGGCGTCCTCCCACTGGATGCATTGGCAACCTGGTAAGACATGCAGGAAATCGATGGATGTAGATGGCTCAGGACCGAAGTTTGTGGCATTCCTTGGGGGAGGCCTATGTTCAGCAGTGGACTTGTGAAGGGCTGTAATGATGATGAAGACTGTTACTGCCTATTAAAGTCCACTGCATAACATCGACCCCCACCGCCCCCTCATAGTTTGCTGCTGATGGAATATTGTCATAACTGCGCTTGGCAAGCGGGTTGGCAACCGTAATTCTTTTTATTTTTAATCGTTAGGAAAACGCTGCTGCCCATCTCCTGGCGTTTCCCCCAGTCACCTCTTACGACACCTACGGGATGGTATGGGTTAGTGGATATTCTTACACTGTCACTATTCGCCTTTAAATTACAATTTTTAAACATATTTATATAATGCAATGACGAAATTCGTCTGACTGCATGTTAATATGTCAATATATTGTAATAAAAAAGAAACCAAAGTAGTTCTTTTAACTCGTTTATCCTTATCTCAAATAAAAATGTAGTAAATCTTAAATAGAAGGAAAGCGTATTTATTGTAACAGATACACACAGAGACAGAGAAAGAACATGTATCATAAAATAGCAGACTATAATTGTGACAAACAAATTGAAGGAACAGCTTGTTCCACAAAATAAAAAATCCACTAAAAGTCAGTCACAAGTTTTTCTTTATTCATACATACATATGACAATTACCTTTGTTAGAATACGATAAAAATGTTATGTTTACTGTGACACCCTGTTACTTGTCACGAGATCTTTCCTTTACTTGCGTAGGTTCAACACCTTAGATAGAAATAGAAGTATCTACCAAGACTGTAGTAACAAATTGTTATTTTGTAACAGGTTTTTGGAACTGTTATTAATGTGGAACTGGATCAGGCGGAACAGATATGCGATTTTACTTGTTACAGCCCATTTCTAATGTCAAATACTGTTCTTCTGTGTGGAATTCATATTAATAAACACATATAAATAAGTTAGAACGAGTGCAAAAAATTTCTTAAGTAAGTTTATTTTGATAATAACAAAATACGCAGGCAACTACATTGAAATACTAGATAATTATAATATGATTTCATTAAATGATCGAAGAGCGTTTACAGACTTATGCTTGTTACATTAAAACATTGACAATAAAATTACCACGAAAAATTTTTTAGAGCCACACTGTAGCTATATTATGGTTGAAGCACGAATAGGTCGGCTCGACCGGAGCACCAACATTCCTTTATTTCAACACGAATGAACCGACACATCTCGCGTGACATCGGGGCATGCTGCTGTACATCACGGCATTCCAAGGGATGCACGGCACGTCACGGCATTCCATGAGATGCCTCGGCAAGCCACGCCGCTGCATCACGTCAAACGCAAAAGTTACTTTATGCTGTAAAAAGAATTTGAGCCCTAAATAATTGAAATAAAGTTGAATCTAGCCCATTGCAGCGACAATCACAGTGACTCGCGCGAGCACCCACCACCCAGTATACGAGCGCGTCTTGACTTGTTTGGCGTGCCGTGGGATGGCTCAGGATCATTCGACATGCCGAAGTATGCCTTGCCACGCATGCAATACCGTGCCGTCTCTGAGCACAGAACCCTTAGTGTAGAAAAATAAATAAAGATAAAAATAATTAGCTGAAATAAATTCTTTTTTTTCCAGGGAAGGCAAATTGTAAGTGTACTTATTTTTAATTTTGGTAGCATTATTCTAGACATATGGACAGTTTTCGTGTTAGCTAACGTCACGATTTATTGATTGAGCCGAGCCGGTGTCCGCAAATCCTCGCCTAAACGCGTATTTTGCGAATGGGCAGGAATTAAATACTATTCGAGTTACCCGAGTTCCTCGAGGAATTTTAGTAATTTTTTAACATTACCAAAGATCTCGTGGAGTGTCTTCGGCGATCAGAGGTACTCAGCTCTGTAGCTTAAACATGGACCGCTGTTTCCTCATGACCCATGTAGGCTCTTCGCAGGGGGCTGTCCATTCACGAAGTAGAGCCTTGCTATAGCTATTTTAGTAGTATAGTCGTGCTACACGAAAGGGTCGACTCGACCGGGAAAGGACCATGCTCTCATAGAACACCAGCTTAAAATAGCAGCATTTTACTGGAAACGGGGCATTTTATCTTAGTCCTCACGGGTGACAACGCATCTTGCATTTTGATACGTAATCGAGGATAAATGTAGATGTCTATGGGCCACAGCAACCGCTTACCATCACGTGGACTGTGTGCTCGTTTATCACCCTAACTTATAAAGAAAACCTCTAAAGCAAAGATATGGTTGGAATAAAACTAATTTTACAGACTGACGTCCGCCCCAATGGGTGCAATAAAGTTCCCGAAACGTTGGGAATTAAAAAGTTAAAATTAAATGCCCGTGGTGAAACACAAAACTGTCACTAAGTGTCTATTAAGTCTTTGGGATGAACATTTACTGCGAGCTATACGTGAGTAAAAGTTACAGCCTATATATGTCCCACTGCTGGGCACAGGCCTCCGCTCATTTCTGAGAGGCTTTAGCCTAATGCTGCTGTGTTTTGAATGGTGAGCACCGGAGGCCCTTTTTACTGAATACGAGGCATTTTATTATAGTCCTGAGAGGCAACAACGCACCAACATTTTAGATTCCTAATCGAGGATTAATGTATATGACTATGTATGTAAGTGCCGCAGCATCAACTTACCGACAGGTGGAAGGTGGCCCTTATTCTGTAAAAATATTACAAGTTGCCAATGCTTTTTCTTCGTAGCCGGCAGGTTATAGAGGTAGATATCGAGGGTATGAAGCCGCAGGACTTCGGCGATTACATCATCGTGGTACAGAATGGCGATGGCAATGACGAGAGGCTCATAGCAGTGACTGTTTTGAGTAAGTTATGTTTTTTAAAGATGCAAGCAAGTCAAGATTTATTTATTTTTAATGTAACCTTGTAGTGGCGGTGTAAGAATATCTTCTACTCAATTTCGTCCCGTGGGTGTCTTAAGAGAGGACAGGGGGAAACTGATGAGAGATGAGAGAAGAGAGAGATGTGTAGTGTCTTCCAGATTTTTTATTATTTAGTGTTGTTTCTTAAAGTAAAAAAGTGACTTTCAATAAGTATTATTTTTAATCTATACTGAATAAAAAGAGTTTCTGTATCTGTTTCTTGTCAAGCGTGGCAACTATAGTAAAGTCTCTCCAATGAGGCAACCTTATGTTTACAGCGGATTTTTAGAAGCTGTAATAGATGCTTCGGTGGTTCGGACACGTTGAAAAAATGAATACAGGAAAGAGTGACAGAAAATTTATGTTACTAAAGCGAGTGGCAGAAACGGCAACGGACGTCCTAGACGGGAGTTTGTCGACCAGATTGGCGATAAGTTGAGGTTGGATCAAATTAACAGCATTTCTAACTGACGAGCATGTTCGCGTAAATATATTTTCTACATGGTAAAGCCTTCAGCTTTAAGTATTAGGGTTGCAGCACGAATGGGTTGGCTTGACCAGTATAGGACCACGCTCTCACAGAATACCAGTGTAAAATAGTAGCTTAATATAGCTATGTTTCGTATAGTGAATGTAGGATTTGGAGGCCCTTTTTACTGGAAACGAGGCGTACTATTTTAGTCCATAGGTTTGAAAACGCATCTGTATTTTGATTTTTAGCAGAGAATAGATGTAGATGTCTATGGGCCACAGCATGCACTTATCATCAAGTTGCCTGTGTATGGATGTCACCCTTATATTAAAAAAAACGTGTGCGCAGTTCACACTCGATAAAATTGAAAGTAACTTTATCGAGTATGAACGTGAAAATTCAGAAAATTAGTAGTAAGATTGTTTTGTAATAGCGCCATCTACGTCATTCTATAGGTAAAGTCATTTTATCGAACAAACATTGATTAACTTTCAATGGGGAAAGTAAATTAGATGCTAAATAGCGAATATGACTCATTTCATATATTCTATCTCATTCTCTCACAGTCTATAGATATACGTTTGTCTCTTTTTAGTGCTGCTTTTTCGTTTCATCGAGTTCCAAATCATAATGATTCTAAAGAAGTTTACTTATTTGGGTGAAAAAAGTAAGAGAATAGTATCGATACTCGATACGATCACAGATATTTGATATTCTTACACCGCCACTACACTATAGATTATTAATTTAATAAGGTACGTGGAGGTAATATGGTCACCGTCATCTTTACCGCCCTATAAAACCAAAACTAGGAGGATAAAAAAAAGTAAAGTTACAGCCTATATACGTCCCACAGCTGGGCACAGGCCTCCCCTCACTTCTGAGAGGGATTTAGGGCAAGAAATTGTGCGCCGCGCTGCCCCAATACGTGTTGGCGATCTTCACATGTCTTCGAAATATGTTTCTTCTTATTCCTCAGACATGCAGGTTTCCTCACAATGTTTTCCTTCACCGCCGAGCACATGGTAAAGCGGCACTTAAAATTGCAATTAACAATTTCATTGATACCGGCGGGGATTGAACCCGGGTTACTCGCGTTCAGATATATTTACAGCGAGCGTTAACCATCAGAGCCTCTATCTCTATCTAACCTCTTCTCCTTCCGATTCTCGACTATGCTGACGCAAGCTATGTAGACATAACTAAAGACCAGCTAACTAAGCTTGAGAGACTTCAAAATACTAGTATTCGGTTCATATTTGGATTGCTCAAATTTGACCACATTTCCCAATTTCGCTCACGTCTCAAGTGGTTTCCTATCCAATTTCGCCGGAACATGCATATTCTTTCTATTCTATACTGTGTCTTATTTTACCTTTCTACTCCTCCTTATCTTAAGGAGAAATTTAGTTTTGTTGGGCTTCCAGGGGAACCTTTACGCTCTTCAAGAAAACTCATTTTAAGGGTACCAACTCACAATACATCTTTCTTTAATAAATCTTTTACTGTACAGTCTATTAAGCTCTGGACTGCCCTACCTTTGTATTTACGCGAAGCTCAGACTATTGTAGTCTTTAAGCGACTTCTTAAAGAGCATTACTTGTCTCAATTGTTCGAAAATCATTAGGATAAATTATGTGATTATGTAGTTTTGTATTTATTTGTTTATGTTATTGTTAGTGGTAAATATTTGAGGATATATGTATGTATATATGTGTATATATATGTGTATGTGTGTGTATGTTTTTTTTATTATTTTTTTTTAATGTATTAGTTATTTACTTATATGTTATTTTATTGCATGTATTGATATTATATTAGGTATATTTATATTGCACCACCTACCTAGTACTCACTGTTTTATTTCTTTACACTTTTGGTTGCCTGGAAGAGATCGCTATGTAGCGATAAGGCCGCCAAATTGTACATGTAATCTGCTCTCTGTTATGTTCTTTGTAAATTTGTTTGTGGTGTGCAATAAAGTATATTCATTCATTCATTCATCAGAGCTACCACGGTTTCAAACTAGGAGAATGACAGAGACAAAAACACAAAGTCGTATACCATAACTAATATATTAACAAATAATTGCAAACAAGCTTTGGCAAAAATTAGGAACACTTCGAAATATCAACTTAAAAAAAACTAACATCGACTAAAATATATACTATAACGTCAACTGTCAAAATGGCGTCGAGAAATCATCTTTCACCCTTTATTATTTGATTGACTGATATAGAGCTATCTTGTCACAAAGTCATCTATGCAAACAAGGCTGTAGTATTTGAGTTATAAATAAGTTAGCATATTAACCGGTTGACCATATTACGCTCACGTACTATATTGTTATTTTATTGATTATCAATAAAAGATATATTTCATCTTACTTTAATTCATAAACGATGATGTTAACAATATTTGATGTATTTAATAATTACAGCTCCTGGTAAGTTTTCTTTAATTTGCATTGGTTAACGGATTTCCGACAGGGAAACAAAAGGAATGCAGCAAATGGTTGCATCCCGATTTTTTACATTTTTTCCCGACCGATATAACTTAGGGACCATAAATAAGAACGCAGCCTTTCCTTTAAGACCAGTTCACCTGTGATTCCTTCGTTATTGCAAATGTTTATGGCTATATATAAATTTTATTTTAAATAATTTAGGGTAGATGTAGATATCTATGGGAAATAACATTCCACTTACAATAATTTGAAATGTGCGTTCGTTTGTTACAATAATTCTTTTAAATAAATCATTTTGTTCCGCATGTGTCGCAATAGGCGACTATAGCAAATTGTTAAAGTATCTAATGGCCTCCGACAGATGGCGTAAGTAGTATATGCACTGCTGTGTTCTGAAGGGTATAAAGAGCTGGTATTACACGCTGTGCTGTGAGGCATTCCATCTTAGTCCTCAGAGGTGACAACACTTCTGTAGCCTTTATGCAAGGTACGTCGGTCTGCCAAACGTGACAATATTTTATATTATAAAAACGTCAACCCCCCCACTAAGATTTTCTCCTGTATCCTGGAGGCAGTTATCATACATAAATTTCACTGATTGTCTCATCTAGTTTCTCGTTCAAATCCCGTTTCTGGCCAAAACCAGACATTCTCAGTAAAAGCCAGGAGTCAGGAAGTTGGCGGTGTCTCACCCCCGTGGCTCGGAAAGCACGTAAAGCCGTTAGTCCTACGCCTGATCTCTCTCCGGTCGTGTCGGTTTACCGTTCCATCGGATTTTGAGAGTGAGGCAATAGAAAGTGCATATTTGGGCACTATAATCTTATCCTGCGCAGATGGTTGGTCTCCGTTGAGATGACGTGATCAAATTCGGTCTGGAGGGTATTATTAAATTTCACAAGGTCAAACCCGGAATAATTATTTGTGGGCCATACAAATACTTGTTCCTTTCGGGATTCAAACCTGAAGCCCTCTAACCGTTGCTAAGCCACTGCGCCACGAATACAAAGACGTATTCACACCCCCCCCCCCCCTCCCGTTTTTTCTTTCTTATCTTTATTGTTTTATTAACATAATACCTTCTTACAACGGGAAAGGCAATGGCCTCTCCCGCCATATATGGTTAGATGGGTCCAGATGCAAACTTTTATGGACTGATGTAAAAGAACGATTGTGTACACTTCCTTTTCTCTTGTCTAGTAATTGTTATTGTGATAATTTTTATTTTTTATTTTTAGAGAATGGTAAGATTTTGAAATACTTAAAAAAATAGAATGAAATAAACTGAATTTAATGACAGTGTGCAAAAAAAATTGCACAGCCCTGACGCGGAACTGGAGTGTACTTAGGGTTGCTAGCTTCCGTTTTATGTTATAGAGGATCTGATAAGACTAAATAGCGTGTAGCGGTAGTATAGGAATACCCACTACCCAAAGGATATCTGACAACCCTAAGTGTACTGCTTAAGAAGCTGGGACCATTTTATTACCACGTTTTTATTAACTCGCTTTAGTGTATTTTGTTCGGGTCGAGTTTATTAATTGGTTTTAAGCTAACTTTCCGATGAGTTAAAGACTTGAACCTTCGAACATAGCTCAGAATCGGATGTCAACGATGATGAAATCGTAAAAAATATATAAAAAAAGGAAGTAAATGTTTTATTATTTCTAGTCCGTTTTAAAACCGTGGTATAAAAAAACTGTTTATCGATTGAATAGAGATGGGCCGAATATGGATTTCAAAGAATCCAAATATTCGGCCGAAAGTTCGGTAAAACTTTTACCTAACCGAATATTCGGCCCAACATTATTCGGCAGGATATGTTGAAACTCGAAACTTGTAAGCGTAAAGCGCGCGGGATTAGCGCTGTACCCTGCCCCTTGCTCCACCGCCACGCCACACCTCACATGTTATTACAACATCTAGTACTGAATAAATTGTCAGAAAATAATTATGTTTAGACTATTTTTGTGAGAAAAAAAAGTTTTTCGTTGTGTTATTCTTAGT